TAGGAGGGAAGTATTGTGCAATATTCTGAGAGTTTTGGGTACCCAAAAAACTGGTTAGGTTGATTAAAATGTGTTTAAATGAAATATATAGTAAAGTACATGTAGGTAAACATCTGTCTGATAATTTTCCTATACAAAATGGTCTAAAACGAGGAGATGCTTTATCACCACTGCTTTTCAACTTTGCTTTAGAATATGTCATTAGGAAGATTCAGGAAAACCAGGTGGGGCTGAAATTAAACGGGACAAATCAGCTGTTGGTCTATGCCGATGATGTGAATCTACTGGGTGATAATATAGATACCATAAAGAAAAACACACAAACGTTAATTGATGCAAGTAAGGAGATTAGTCTAGAAGTAAATACAGAGAAAACTAAGTATATGTTGCTCTCCTGTCACCAAAATGCAGGGCAAAATAATGACATAAAAATATAAAACAGATGTTTTGAAAATGTGGCACAGTTCAGATATTTGGGAACAATGACAGCAGATCGAAACCTGATTCAGGAGGAAATTAAGAGGAGACTGAACTCGGATAATGCTTGCTACAATTCAGTTCAGAACCTTTTGTCTTCTTGTCTGTTGTCTAAAAACACAAAAATTAGAATATACAAAACTATAATTTTGCCTGTAGTTCTGTATGGCTGTGAAACTTTGTCTCTGACATTAATGGATGGAAACAGACTGAGGGTGTTGGGGAGAATATTTGGACGGAAGAGAGATGAAGTGATGGGAGGTTAGAGAAAACTGCATAATAAGGAACTTTATAACTTGTACCTTTCTCCAAGTATAATTAGAATGATCAACTCAAGGAGGATGAGGTGAGCACGGCATATGGCACAAATGGGGGAGAAGAGGAATGCATATAGGATATTGGCAGGAAAGTCAGAAGGAAAGAGACCACTAGGAAGACCAAGATGTAGGTGGGTGGACAATATTAAAATGGATCTTAGAGAGATACGATGGGATGGTATGGACTGGATTGAACTGGCTCAGGATATGGACCAGTGGAAGGCTCTTGTGAACATGAAAATAAACTTTCAGGTTCCATAAAATGCCAGGAGGTTCTTGAGTAGCTGCACAGCTGGCAGCTTCTCAAGAAGGGCTCAGCTCCATGAGTAAGTGATAAAGGTATTCCGAGCAGAACAATTATTTGTAACTCATACTTCAAAACTATTCTCAGCATGAGTACACATTATGACAATTATTTAAGCACACATGTTTTTCTTCTTAAATAACAGTTCCAGTGTACATATGCTGCAAACAACTTAAAACGTTTTTGAGCAGACATGTGGCCTAATCCAATATATGGAATGATGCCAGTAGCCCAATGATGGTTACTTATTATCTAAACTCTCTGGGATTTTATGATTTTGTTCTCATACAGCTTCTTACAGACACGTGCTACTGAATTGCAGTGCAATTCATAATTAAAAATCCAAGCAGGAATGCCTCTTCTTACATTCAGTCAAGGTTCTCACTAAATGGGTGTTACAGAAATTTACACCCAGAAACTGTTCATCTTCTTATATGACTTACTGCATAAAATTACGATAATACTATAATCTTCACATATTTATATATATATATAGTTGAAGAAATAGTTTCTACACAAATAAACACAATTATATCATCAATAACAACAAATTCATTTCTTAAAAAAATCAATTTTGTATGAAATAAATTCTGAAAGAACAACTTTTCTACACTAACAATTAAGAATACCCCATCAACAACATAAAAATAATTTCTAAACTCATTAATGCCGTTAAAGAACAATGAAGAAACTTTAGTTGAGAATCAAAGCAACTATGAAGCCAAAGGTAGCATATCATACTAAATCAAGGAACAAGTTCCAGAAGGTCAAAAATGTCTTATATTAAATGCAGACTACAGAAATCAAAATTCACTAAATAAATGAAAATATCACAGTGTTTCCATTGGGTTTCAGCCGGGACCAGAATATTCAACAAATACAGGTTTTCACTCAAGGCATTAACACTACATCAGGATTTCACTGTATATCACTGTGGCCCATTTATGTAGTACTATAAATCTGCAGGTTTATAAGCAATGGAATATAATTATATAGAAAACTATAAATATAGCAGTTTATTAGGGGAAAATCTGTTTAACGTTTTATGCCAATTCCAAATTGTACAAGTATTCAAATTTCTTATGTTCAAGAGTAAAATCATTTAACAGCTTAAAAGTTTACTCCTGTATACACTGGCACATAAGATGAACCTTTAGGCTTAAAAAAAAGTCTCATGCCCAAAGCACAAAATGTGAAACTCGGATCCTTAAATGCTAGTTGGCATTCAACAGCTATCATGCATCACTTAACTACAATCACAACAATTTCTACTTGAAACTCATGTTTGGTATATATAATTAATATATAGAGAACAAAATCTTTGGTAGGATACAATGACCACTGCTGCCATAACTGCCATGTCATCTGGATGAACTCAACAGCACTCAATATTTTACACATCTGATGCAGCACAAACAAATATACAAGCAACACAGAAATCTTGACAACTACCAGCAAGGCATTTGTACCATAAATGATGTTCTGTTATTGTTACTAACATATCTCTGGATGTATGTTACGAAATTCTCTAATGTAAGCATGTTGATGAAAATTCTGCAGGGTGTGAATGAATTGTAGTTAAAAAAAATCTGTCATCTTATCTGGCAAATATAGTCCCACACTCAAATTTTTAACATACAATTCAGGTGCCATTTTATACATCAGCTGCCTTATATGCCAATTTATATTGTATATAACTGTGTCTGATTCTCAATACTAAATTCCTGTTGTACAACCTGATCAAAAAATGATGATCCCTACCTTGCTCCACCTTTTCACCACTATTTGCTGGTGACTGCTGTGCCTTGTTCATGAGTGGTGATGCTTGCTTCTTGACATCAGCAGTAATTTTGGGGGAACAGTTCTTACGGGAAGGACGAATTGTCATGATTGGAGGCACCTGCAAAAAATGTTCAAATGACATGAACAAATTTTTCTATATTATCAGCCTAACTGTTATAACTGCTGTCTTTGTTGTTATTGCTATTATTGTTGTCACTGTTGTTACTGAGATGGGATAGCTCAACCTATAAAATGACTGGCAGGTATTAATGACAGGACTAAATTTCCAGAAGGAAAAGAATTTCTTCTCTCTTCACCATTGTGTCCTGACCGGCTCTTGGATCCCCACTAATACATTCAGTAATTAAATCTTTTCTGTCAGACTTAGATTTGCCACAGTATCAATCGACCATACACCTCTACTCTTCCAGAGAAATTTTTATGCCTAAAATTTTAATTTCAAAACAATATGTTTTCATAGCACAGTTTTATTGCAATGAACAGAAAATCTATTCTGTCTTTCTACTGGCATGCTGACATACTTGGAGCATTCTGATTTTTTTACTGCTAGTGGGGTGGGACTAAGTCCCTTGTACTGCGGCCACCCCAGATGATAGGTGAGGGTGATTGTGGAGCAATTGGTGGAATGAAGATTGGCAGTGGAAACCGAAGTACTTGAAGAAAACCTGCTCCAGTGTCACTTTGTCCACCACAAATCCCACTTGACCAGACCCAGGATCAAACCCAAGCTGCCAAGGTGGGAAGCCAGCTACTAACCGCTTGAGCTATGGCGCGGTCAAGCATTCTGATTTAGTCAATTGTGCAAGGTTACTTTTTACAGTCAACATACAGAGTTCCAGTAGAGACCATCTTAATGTAACTGTAATGCCACATAATAGTTGTGAAAGTTACATATATAGTGTCAAAAGTTTCACCTTCCCACTCATCAGCTTCATTACTACATTTAGACTGGTCCCCAGCCACATGGATTATCCAGTTGTCCTGCATAAAGTCATACCATTGGGGTCTGTTAGCATAGAAATTCATATAGTAGCACGTTTGTGCCCAAAGTTAAGAATCGTGTATATTTTAGTGAACTAAATGCAAAGTCACTCTGTGCATAGCTCTCAGAATCTATTTTTACAAGTGTAAAAGTCAAAATCAGAATTATATCACAATATAGTAGTTAAAATATTTTCAGAAACAAACACTGTAATTTCTGCAGCACCATACACGTTACAATAACTAATTTGATTTCAGGAATTTACTCAGGATTTTAGGAACACACCAACAGTTAGCTTACTAAACATAATGCTCTCATGTAATTCAGCCATGTATTTTCTTTAACTTAATACTAGAAACCTTTTCAATATTTACAATGAATTACTTAAATATTACGAACACAAATCTGGCCACCAAACTTGTTTGTGACAAATTAAAAGTCTCAAAATATAAAAGTTAAAACAGGTCTTAAGAAAGCTGGTTCTGACAATGCAGAATGGATTGAGGTGCCACAAGATTAGGTACTATTGCTATGCAGGTACCAGTATTATAAGATAAATAATTATGGAATTTTCAATATTTTTATACCTTTCATTAACATGTTCTTTACATGTCAAAATTGATGTGTGTGTGTGTGCACATGCACACAAAAATTGTAAGATACTGTTGTACAAGTTTATGTGCTTACAGGTCACATATTTTATTCCAGAGTGTAACTTCAAATATTGGCATTTTTGAAGTCTGATATTTAACAATGCCGTCGGTATCAATACCACATAAGTGATCAAATATAGTGATGTGCAATTCAGACTATTTATGAAATCCTGTAAATATGTGTTCAGTGCATCTGACTCGCTGAATATCCCATTAGTTCACACTACTATGCTACAACCAAAAAACTGCACTGGCAAAAAGTCCTTGTTTCATGCAATAGTTTTCCAAGTGTACAAAGTTAAGGAACTGACGGTTCCAGTAGTTTTTGTCAATCTAATGAAGTCCTTTCAACAAAATGTACTCATTCTACTCCAGTGTTACTACATCACACAACAAGACATGAACCAAGAAACGCCTTATTTACAACTCATGTTTTGTAGTTCATATACTGTCACATGTTAGTGACTACAGACAAGGCTAAGACTGATAACTGAATTTAGTGGATGCTTATTATTCTCAACTACAAATAAATATGACATTTCTACTACTCTTCTAAATCTACAAGTAACTACAGCACAGTCCAAGTCTTTGGGGGTCTGATGTATCCTCACATACTCGCTGCCTGGTTAGACCCCTTCATTAACAGGACTGTAAGGTTTCTGTGCTTGATGGCTCTTACTTCAGGTCTTGCTGCCTCTCTTTATGTAGCTTTGTCATTGATGTGTTAGAAAATATCACATCCAACAGCTCCTCTATTGCTACGTGCATATTTGTTACAGTGGAAATGTTTTTTAACAAGCCACTGCATAGCAACAGATGCTTCTGCAGCACTTCTCTGACTCCAAAATAGTGACTTTTAGGCATCATGTCACAGTATATAACTAATGAATCCTCTTTCAACCTCCAAAATTTCCCATTATTTTCAGGCCTCATAATTATAAGATGTATTTGTTTTCATGAGTAAGAGGCTTCCACACTTCCAGGCACTCACAGATTTCTCACTAACACTGAACACTCAACCTGCTGCTCTCCTCTGGTGTTCAGTACATGCGACCACTTCTAACACAAAGACTTGTAAAGATCCCTTATCAACCACAACTACACTTGCATTGGTGAAAAATACAGAACTGCATGACTGGCCAGCATAAAATGTGAAAGAGACAAATTCTGAAAATAAATAATACTACAAGCATGTGAGACAGAAACCAAGTTGATTAAACCATGTCCTAGTTGTTGCACAGTGATGATTCATTAAGTTACCTCAAATGCAAATGAATATTAAAATCACCAATTTTCTACAACAAAACATATGTGTGATAGAAATAACATATGCATACATAAATATGATATCAACTGGAGCACAGAACTGACAAACAGAAACCTGGTATACGTTGATATGACATCATGTTTTATGAGCGCATCATTTAATGCCAGTGCAGCAACTCAATCGCATAATTAACATATTCTTTACAACTTCCTACATTAGTATCACAGAGTATGAGTACACAGTAGTGTAGCTGGTTAAGGCACTATGCTACAAGCCGGAAGGTCGCAGATTCGAGTCCCAATGAGATGGATTTTTCATTTTACCTAATCCCTCTAGCCGCATTATGGCAGTGGTCAACTAAGCCTCTAACAGAAATGCGTACCAGGAATCTTCCTGGGGGTTAAAGGGTGGCCTGCGCATAAGGCTGACAACCTCACCACCATCTATGAGCCAACTGTCTACAAAAGTGGGAGCCTCAACCTCTCACAACCCTATGGGCCTTCACGGCCTGTTACAGGGATAACATAACTTTTACTTTACTTTACATTAGTATCACAGAGAAAGTTTAACAAAGTGCAGCAATTAAATTTCTCATTAAAAGACAAAACTCCAAGGTATACTGTAAATCCTTGCCACCAGACTACTAGGTCAGTTACATGACAAGAAATCCATATGGAGAAGGGAAAAAATCAAAGATGGCTGCAGGTCTGATCATCCTGTTGAAGCTTCTGACCAGGAAAGGCAAAGCAAGGTGCAGAGTGTTACAGTCAAGATTATTACAGCAAGCCTCTGTTTCAGTTGGGGATTTATGACACAGTAACTAACATTTTTCTGAAAATAAAAAAGAAAGGAGACCACATGCTATGAATCTACAGTTATATGGCAATTATCATGTAACTTCCCCACACTGAGACTAAGTTTAACTGGCATCTTTGACCGTAAATTTGAAACCCAATTGCCGTACTCATTTAAGAATACCACGAAAGTAAGAAATAGGTGTTAGAATTGCGTGCTAACATAAAATTTTGTTCCCAATTGCAAAGATTTCTAATCTTAAATAAGTACAACTACTAGTTTCAAGTATACACTCTTTTTTATTGCTAATGGGGTGGGACTAAGTCCCTTGTACTGCGGCCACTTCTGGCCTATTGTACCAGCCCCAGATGATAGGTGAGGGTGATTGTGGAGCAATTGGTGGAATGAAGATTGGCAGGGGAAACCGAAGTACTTGGAGAACACCTATCCGCAGCGCCACTTTGTCCACCACAAATCCCACTTGACCAGACCTCGGATCGAACCTGGAGCGCCGTGGTGGGAAGCCAGTGACTAACCGCTTGAGCTATGGCACGGCCCAAGTATACACTTAATAATGCTAGTTAAACATATCTTAACATGGTGTACTGAAATTAGAATCATTTGAAAACTACAGATTTCATAGCTTATAACATATGGTCTCCTATTTTACTGGTAGACTCTGTAATCACTTCTAAAATCACTTCAAGTTAGGTATCCATACTGTCAACTCCAGATCAGAAGTGACACTGATATGAACCTTAGAATAAAATAGGGAGCTTCCTAAATAGTGTGCAAATAATTTTTGTCTAAGGCAGTGGCAGGTAATACAACATGAATTAACCATTGGGATAAAAAGTCCCACAGATGATCATATAGTAGAGGACTAAGTATAACAGTATAACACACGCAGTCACAGGAGCAAGACACAACACAAAGCACAATACACACATGAAAGTAGGAAGAATACTCCGATAGAAGAAGATAGGTGTGACTCACGTATTGAGATACGACATAAGGATCACAAATCTTGAACAGTATTAATATTTTTAATATTTAAAATTTATCAATATATATGACGAACATATATTTTAGTTATTTTAGTATAAAAACAACAGGGGATGCAATGAAGTAGTTCGATGTACATCGAAAAACACCTGAAGATGGCACTTTAGTGCTGAAATATGTAGTGCAAGAGAGAAGAGTAAGGTGAATAAATGTATGCACTGTAAGACAGTCAGAATAAATCATGGAGAGGAACAAGTGGTTTCTAACACTTCTCAGATTTTACATTCAGAAACTTCTTGAAAGGATTATTGCTACTGTACACTGAGACTGCTGCTGGAGCCCAAGCTACATGGATGTCTGAGTAAACAGTTACTACTGAATCCTCTACAGATACTATGAAGGTCTGTTATGGCACCAAAAAAAATGTTGAGGATGGTTGCCAAGTGTAATTCTGTTCCATGACAATGTCAACATGCACAGAAGATGTGGAAATTTCAAGCTACTATGCAGGAGTTCAACCACCCACCCCAAACCCTGGAAATATCAGAAAGTAATGACTTCCTGTTCAAACGTTTGAAGAAATTCTTGCAAAGAAAAAGGTCTTCTGGAGCTGAAGAATGCATGATGTGTAGGAAGTTATGAAAAACAAAATATCTCTCCAAACACAGCTGGGTCACTAAGCTGGCACTCACAAAACATGTTATACCATGCTCACACAATGTTTATTACTAATTTTATAAATTACTATGCAACTGTGAATAGTATAATGCCTAACACTAGGCATGATAGGAATAAAACTTAAGATAAACTTAATATTCAAGTTAGCAGGAATTCATAATTTTGTGCCATAGTAAACATGGGCTTACCAATTTTTCTGAACGTTCTCCAGATGGTAATCTTGCTACTGTTGCTTCTGGCGAGTCTTCTGGAGGAGGTGGCTGAGTAATCCAGTTATATTCTCGCTTCTCAATAGGTAGCCCCCAGCGTTCATACTCCAGTGACTGTGTGCGTAACGTCTCATAACAATCCAGGCATACTACTGCAAAGTCCCCATTCTCCAGCAACAAGCTATGTTCTGGCTGACGATGATACCGTAGAAATGGAAAGTCCTGTAAAATATACATATAAAATATGACATCAGTTTGCTACTCTCTCTGCCAACTACTGATATGGCCATTTTCTTGATAAATATTCCAACAGCAATGTTTCCACATTTTCTTTATGAGTCAGGGTCATTCCATGCTCGTTCAATAATCGATGTGGGGAAGAATTTTTATGACCATCTCCAATTCTAATAAAATATTTCACTATCATTGCGTTTCCTTAGGAAGAGACATGTGTATACAAAATTTTAGATGTCTTTGTCCATTAATTGAACACATACAGCAACTTAAATATTAAAATTTTTCTTCAATCTGATTTGCTAAAATGCTTACAACTCTGATCCTAGTTCAGTCAAAGTTAGTTCATTCTTGTAAAAGTAAAAAAGTAAAGTAAAGCTAACCTTGTAACAGGCCATGAAGGCCCATAGGGTTGTCAGATGTTGAGGGTTCCACATTAGCTAGACAATCGGCTCAAAGATGGCAGTAAGGTTGTTAGCCCTACGTGCCGGCCGTGCTTTATTCCCCAGGAAAATTATTTAATTAATTCCTGGTACTCATTTCTGTTAGAGGCTGAGTCAACCCCAGGGCCACAGAAAATCCCACCTAAGAGTTTTCACATGGTACAAGTTCATTCTTGTACCATGTGAAAACTCTTAGGTGGGACTTTCACTTGGTGTGAACACAATATTTTAGGGTACCCTACATTCTGACCTTGACTTTAGTTTATGAAAACTGCATAACCATATTTATGCAGGCTTTCCCAATAGCATTTTGTGATCATTTCAATACATCTTTTGGGAAGTGTCATGAGAGTGATGAAAAGATACAATTTTGTCTGTTAGTGGTCTGATGAAGCATTACGAGTCATGTAAACTGCACAGACATTCTGCTGGGCATCATAACATTAACTCATCCAACCTTTCAGTCTATACCTGGTGTCAGTAGAATTAATTATTATTTCCTTGTCTGTCACAATCTGTATTGGTTTTGTTACGAGAAAGCTTAGTTTACATATTTGCCAAGTTTAATGGCTGAAAGTGCTACAGGTGTCAAAGTACTTAATGTTTTAAAATGGTTTTGTAATCCCTAAAATGTCATTCACAGTGTACATTTCAAGGAAAACCTGAAACTGGTGTTGGACTGGACAATGAAAAAGGTTCCTAGTTTCAGAAAAGCAAAAGACTCTGTGACAAATGCAGGGAAACTGTTGCAAATTTGCCTGAATGTTTTGGAAAATAAACAGATGTCTCTTCAAGCCCCAAATGTGACATAAGGAACAGGAAGTCCTGAGGAGTTCTAAAATGAGCAGGCCCTTCTTGTTTTTTCCTTGAATAACTTGGGTGTCATTAGAAGAACCACCACTTTCCACTAAAAAGTTGTCACAAGTGAAACATCCAAGGGAAAAATGAAAGAAAATTGATTGAACTATGAAAAGAAAAGAACCACCACTTTCCACTAAAAAGTTGTCACAAGTGAAACATCCAAGGGAAAAATGAAAGAAAATTGATTGAACTATGAAAAGAAAACAGGAAAAAAGTGAGAAGGTTTGAATTTTGATGGTTCCTCCAAACAGCTGGTCAATTAGCAAAATCAGCCAGAGTTCAAAGATTCAAATTATACAGTTTGGAATGTCAAGAAATTAGTAGATGAAAGAGGAGTTCTGTCAACCTCAAATGCAAAACCAAGCAAAGTGCTACCTCAAGCATGAAATGAAATGGAGAAGCAATTTTATGTATCTGGTGATAGCAGCAGAATCAATGCCATGAACAAAATATTACATTTCTGTTAACTTAGAGCAAAAGACATTCATAAACTGCAACCTAAAAGAAGCCCACTTAAGTTTTAAAGAACATAATCCTGATAAGCTGCTAGGCCTTTCAAGTTTGAAAAGTTACAGGGAAAAAACTGTGTGCTAGCTGGGGCAAGTGGTATGCATGCAGTTTATACGCGTACCATTCATCAGATTTCAGGTCCAAAACTGTGTGACTGAGTAAAAAGCAAGGAAAACCTTAGGACTGTCTGTCAAAAATTATATGCAATACAACAAATCTAAGTTATTACCAGAGAGACTCTGAGATGTGTCCAAGGACTGAGAACTTAATCAGAAATACTGAACTGAGATCTGTAGACAACAAAACCTTTATGAGTAGCAGATAATGACACCAAGACAACTTTACAAGTGGACTGCTGTAAAGATTTCTTCGATCATCTTTGAGAATTGCACTGATGAAGATCATAGCAAAGAAATACTGGTGCTCAAAGAGGCATTCGTGAAGGCTTGAACACTTCTGAGTACTCAGAAAACATTTGTCATTCCTGCATAAAAAAGAAAACCACGTTCTAACAAAAGAGTTTTCAGAAGCAAACAACATAATACATACAGTACACTGTCATCATCAGTTTCTTAATGCTTCATATATGAGAAAACCTTGCAAAGATGGAAGTCCTATCATTCTTAGAGCTGGGATAGTGCAGTCAGTATAGCGAATGGCTACAGGCTGGACAACCAAGGGGTCGGACTTCGAGTCCCGATGGGGGCAAGAATCTTAACTTCTTCATGTTGTCCAGACTGGCTCTGGGGTCCACCCAGCCTCCTATCCAATGGGTACTGGGGGCTCTTTCCCCTGGGGTAAAGTGGCCAGGGCATGAAGCTGGCCACTCACATCCAACTAGTGCTAAGGTCAAGAAAATGTGGGTCTCTACGTCTACTCCCCCATACACCTTCATGGCATGGTGCTTAGTCAGTTAAGCAGAGACAAATTACCTTTTTACTATCATTATTACAAGTGGTTCATAACTAGCCAAAATTTTGTTTGCATGGGCTGAACTTGCAGTTTCGCCTCACAAAATATATATGGCAGTTGGCCTGTACAGGTATTATTCATCCTCTCCCTTATCTAGGTAAAGTTGACATTCCTGAATCCAAGGACTGTATGTCTGAATGGAGATGTTAATTGACCTTGAGACAAAGGTGCTTAGCATACACAAACAGAGTCCCAATACGTGATCTTGAAACACTGGTCAACTCCTCAAAATGTAACAAAGATACAGTATGAGACAATGTTCTCATGACTGTATTTAGCAGAATTTGATGGGTTCCAAGTGGGCTGACATCCAGATTTTAGATAATGATAAATGTTCATCATGTGATATCATCTGAAGTCCAGTAGCTTGTTACAGTTAGTATTGTGAATGGGTATCAGAAAATTTCAGTGACTGTACTGTATGTTATTTAAATTAAAATGTTGAACTCCAATTACGGAAATGAAATGGAACTGCTTACACTTGAATATGAAGCTTGAAGTTAAACGTCACTCTAAAGTTGGTTCATCATAGTGTAAAACATGAAGATGGTATGGATTTATCTTCTTTGACAATATTCACCATTTTGAAGAACAAAAATAAAATATGTGAGATTTATCAGTTCTTCTAAGTAACAGAAGACAAGCAACAGAAATGAATGCAAGCTGCAAAGAACAAAGAATTCAAATCCTCGCTCTGTGTGATTTTGCCAGAAAAATATGGCTGTGCTATATCAGCTGATGGACCAATGACAAATGCAAAAGCTAACCAATTCATGACATGCTTGTAAACTGAGAACTTTCAGTGTTCTGAAGCAAGACTTTATCATTTCAAAGCAAGAAAATATATCAGTATAAACAAATAGCCTGTCAACTCTGGTGGGTTTAGGAACTGATCTTTACAGTAACATGAGTATGAGCCATTTTGCCCCTAACTTTGTACATTGCCGATGTGCAGCAAACAGGTCTAGAGGGGGGACTTTTGCCTGCAAAGGATGGTTCCTAATAAATGGTCATGACAGATGGAGTCTGGGATACCCCACTGTCATCAGCACAGAAAAAGAGGGGGCAATATATCCCTGCCAAACTTGGTTGGATTTATAGACAGATGGAGTCTGGGATACCTCACTGTCATCAGCACAGAATATGAGGGGGCAATATATCCCTGACAAACTTGGTTGGATTTATGGCATTAAGGTATCAATGGGTAAGGAAGATGGAAATTAAAAGGGCCCCAATCTGGGGGGTTTCTGGCTTTAGCTATGGTCAGAGCTCTTAAGGAATAACTTGGAATGGTAAAATGGACTCACAAGAAGTCTTTTAAGTGCTTATGGGGTGGCTAGAAGTGCCCCCCACCTATGTGAATACAATACAAATATAATACAATGCAATAAGTGGTCCATTTTCAGTACAAGACGTTACACAAATGCAGGAAAATATTTCACTTCTTGATTTTGAAAACGCTAAAGGCGAACGTTCAATTATTCTTTGTTATACAGATTAACGACCTCTTTTCACTGGTACAAAAATTCCTAGTACCTGTTAACTGTCAGAAAGCCTCAAAGTTTTGAACCATCGTAATTTTTGTGTTTAAATATCTACCCTTAAAAGCACACAAATTTTCATACAAAATTTGTAGGCATTTATAATATATCTACACACCACACAATTACTTGCCTTGTATCAGTCATTCATATTATCACTATTACATATGAGGTGCTATCAGAAAGTTCCTGGACAAATCAAAAAAGAAATGCTGGCTTAACTTACTCAATTATGGGTGCCATCTCCTTCAAAATTGTCTCCTTGGGAACATATACAGTGATCCCATCGTTTTGTTCACACTTCAAAAGCACCATGGAAGTCATTTTCCTTAATGCTCTTGAGTGCTGCCTGTGATTCCCTTTCAATGTCAGGCGCTGTTTCAAAATGTCATCCCTTTAGTTTCATTTTCAATTTGGGAAACAAGGCGAAATCACAGGGGGCTAAGTCCGTCAAGTAGTGAAGATGGCGAATGATACCCATGTTGTTGTTAATAACAAACTCTGTGCTTTTCAGGGATGTGTGGGCAGGCACATTGTCGTGATGAAGGAGTAATGCAGCGAATTTTCAAATTTTCTGTTAAGATCTCCTGGCAAACTCAATAACTGATTCCAGCGGGGTTTGTGAGATCATGGATTGTTCAGCAACAGTCTTCGTGGATGAGTTATTAATTTTTTCAACATTTTCTGTCGTTTTGTTGGTGCTTGATTGCCCTGAATGTTCATCATGTTCAACTGACACTTGACCGGCCTTGAAATATGTGAAACCAGCCTCCCTTCTCATTTTCTTTTACCCAGGCAATTACAACAATAACAGTCTGGGAACTTTCCAATAGCTGACTTCATATGCTACTAAAGACATGACCTTACCAGAAACTGCACAATCTTAAACACTTCAGATTCACACATTAAATCAACGTACTGGTGCTCCCACTTCAGTACACAAACCACCATGTTAGTATCATTCATAACTAAGGAATGAGGACAGTATGTTGATAGGGTGGTTTCCAATAGCACCATGTTCATATCAAGTTGCATGAAAATCCACACAATGGAACAAAATAGAGTGGGGACAAATGTTCATGTCCCCCATATGAACCACTCCATATGCATACAGGCATATTCACACACACATATGCATCCACAGGATGCACACAAGGGTGCAACACACATCCACACAGTATGAGAATACCACAAACCCTCTTTTCCTAATAAAAGGAGTAAGTATTCTAAAAATAAAATTAAAAACTTCTAAAAAGAAAATTATTTTGTTCTAGGTTCTATTCACTTAGGTTTCAACTATTTAAAAATCTCATTACCTTGACAGGTAGTGCACGGACACGTATTCTGTATGTTGTAATACCACACACATAACAGCAGTAGTCATGAGTGTTATACTCTCGTTTGTCAGCTGGTGTAGTAGACCCACTTCCTTGAAGCTGCTCATAATGTCGCCACTGAGCCAGCAATGAGTGATAGCAGAAAGTGCAAACCAGAGCTGAACCATCTTCCCGAAGCTGTTCTGCATTGGCAGGTGATACATGTCCCAATAACGCAGGGAAGAAAGGTGCATTCCGACCCTGAGTACAATATAATATATAATAATTATAAAATAATATTCCATACAGCAAACAAATGATACAAAAGGTGTATTCATCAAAAAGTTCCTGAACTGATGATGCAGAGCAGCATGTTGTTCATGTGACCTCAAAACCTGACTGTCAGTTATGCTGGCCATTTTGTTCCAAGCAGACTGGATGTTCCATTTAGTTTTTATAACCATTTATGTGACAAAGAGTGTTGTCTTGTCACATTCAGTAAGGAGTCAGTAAAGGAACAAAGATTTGTGTTAAATTCTGTTTCAAAGTAGGGAAACCAGTTGCAGAGTCAACACATTGCATGAAGCTTACAGCAATGACGCCTCAAGTCAAATAACAATTTCTGGTTCAGAAGTTTAAAAAATGAAAGAACTTCAATGGATGATGACAAGCAACCTGGCCGAACTTCAACCTCAAGATCCAAACTACTGACTGCCCAGGTGAAAGAAACATCCATGAAAGTTGTTGACTGACTGAGAAGTTGCAGAAAAGGATGGAATATCCATGGATTCGTGCCACACAATTTTAACAAAACATTTAGGAATGCATTGGGTCTCAACAAAATATGTGCCGAGAATTTTGACTGATGATCAGAAAATGCAACAATTTTTCATGTGTAATAATCTCCTCCAAATGGTAAATGATGGAAATCTTTTGAAAAATGTCATTACTGGTGACAAGACCAGGGTTTAAGGTTATAAAGTTGAAACCTAACACCAATCCTCAAACTGGAAGAGTCCTGCTTCACCTTGCACCAAGAAAGTTCAACAGGTGCATTTGTGAGTGAAAGCAATGATGCTTGTTTTTCTTTTTCACTGACTGAGACACAGTGGAGTATGGATTCATTTCTGAAAGTCTGACAAGTAATCAAGATTTTTACCCAGTGGTTCTGAGATGCCTGTAGGATGAGGTATGAAGAAAATGACCTGAAATGTGGACTACAGGAAGCTGGCACCCCACAATAATGTGCCTGCTCGAACAGCGTTGTTAGACAATACCTGGCAAAACATTCAATTCCTAACCTTCCACAAACCCCTATTCACCTCATTTTCTATACCCTAATCTCAAAATTACCCTTGAAGGAAAATGATTTCACACAGTGGAAGACATCATTAATGCGTCAAATGACAAGAAGGAAATACCAGAAACATCTTTCAAACTCACTCATGGAGCTTAGCCCTTCTTGAGAAGCTGCCAATTGTGCAGCTAATCAAGAACTTCCAAGCATTTTATGGAACCCAAAGGTTCATTGTCATGTTCACAAGAGCCCTCCACTGGTCCCTATCCTGAGCCACAACACTCCAATCCATACCATCTCTTTAAGATCCATTTTAATATTGTTCACCCACCTACATCTTGGTCTTCCAAGTGGTCTCTTTCCTTCTGGCTTTCTCACCAATATCCTATATGCATTCCTCTTCTCCCCCATTCATGCTACATACCCTGCCAATTTCATCCTCCACCTTGACTTGATCATTCTAATTATAGTCAGAGAAGCATACAAGTCTCTTATTCTACTTATTTCTGTAAGAGACACAATATATGACAAAGAGTGGAAAAATTCGTAACTTACCTGTGGTCTTCCATAAAGCACACGAGCTAATGTCAAATCAGAATGAAGTCCACAGAGAAAACAGTAGATCGAACTGCCTGTAGCTGAACGTTCTGAAGCTACATTTGGAGGTGTTACTGATCTAGCCACCGCCACTTGCGATGAATCTCCATTCCAACTGGATACTACCACCGAAGAACCTCCAACACTTGGACTTGGGACATCATACCTAATAAAAGAAACCTGATTATAGAAACTTTTAGTTATTACATCAAGGATTTAAAGCAAAAATACTGTATTTCCAATATACAATACAGAGCTTTCAGCAAACATATGTTGAGTGTGCAGAAATATATTTTAGTAGGACATACAGTATTTCATCCATATTATTCATGGACCCATAATATATGTGCAGAAGAAAGGTAACACATTTAGAAATCAAAGGCAAACAAAACTCAAATTTGGTTAAAAGTGGACAAACACTATTTGCACTTTGAACCACTGATACAAAAAACAAGAAACAAACTATGACTTTAGTCTGCAAGCGAACTATACCGACCGAGCAACCACCGCTTGTCAGTGAAGTTAATGTCAACTTTGTGGTCTAGTGGTCAGAGTTCCTGGCTATAGATCCAGAAGTCCCAGGTTTGATTCGCGGCGCTACCAGATTTTCTGAGAAGCAGTGGGTCTGGAACGGGGTCCACTCAGCCTCATGAGGATAACTGAGGAGCTACTTGAATGGAAAAGTAGCAGCTCCGGTCTAAAAACCGAGATTAACAGCCGTGGGGATTCACTGCGCTGACCACGCGACATCCTCTATCCGCTAAAGTTAAAACACTGATATAAACTTAAATATAAAAAATCAAATTTCCATCCTGCAGTCAATGACACCACGTCCATCCAGCAATTACAATACGTTAACGTTGTGGTACAAGTCCTTGGACTTGCAGTGGCAAAGAATTTTCATGTGCTTACTCTGAACCAATATGTGCCAGTCACTAGTAGGACCTCATCTACAAACTGTCTAGCAGTTTCCAATTTTATTTGTGAAATCAGTGTTCCTTTGAAGTAACTTTGCTTGGTATGATGATCCGGCAAGTTACACGCATGCACCTATAATTACAGTAAGTAGTTCCGTAGGTGATCACCTGGGCCCAGATTTTGATGACCTAAAAATATTTTTAAAATTACCGAAAAAATCCAGAACAATGATCTATAAAATGACCGAAAATCCAGAAAGATGACCGAAAAATCCAGAAAAATTATCTAAAAGTTAAAAAATGAGCTAAAAATGTATCATGTTATGGAAAATCTACTAATTGTTTTAAAATGTATTTTTAAGCTTTATTAACACTGTGAACTCAACATTACTCTAAGTTCATCCTCGTTTTTATGTTGAAAATTAAGCAATATATGATTATATTTGAAGCTAAATGTTTTAATGCGATTTTTTCTACTGCGTTGGAACGTTTACCAAATGTGCATATACGGCATATATTCCAATATTTAAGTGCCACCTCATTCAGGGTTGCACTAGATGACAGTCAACATGCAGAGATTCTCAAAGGTGAGTGAACGCCTATTGTCTGACAGCACATTCTTGTACTTGGAGAAACTCCTTTCCACATCTACAGACACTACAGAGCATACTTGAAGTGTACCAAATCACTAGCAGTCAGTTCCTCTCTCTTCAATATTGAAAGTTCTGAATGACTCTCCTGTCAGAATTCAAGAAATGCTGCATAATGTTTCATAACCTGAGTTTTTATCTAGAACATATTTCATTTTTGTTGACACCATTTTATCAATGTCCCCTGACACTTCCTCCAAATCACTGGCTATTTTTTTCACCAGAGCGAGGGAATCTTCTAGCATTGCTCCTTTCTCCTGCAAGCATTGAATTCCTTCTGCCTTTATGAAGGCCAGCTGTCATTCCATTTCGCTGCACGAGAACTGTTCCAAAGCAGCTTCAATTGCCCTCGCATCCTCCGTCTTCATTGAATCTACAATGTTTTTCACTACCTGAAAATGATAGCAATAGTAAACTGTAGCATCAATCCACGTTCCCCACCTTGTGACGATGGGTTCCGGGGGCAGTGGAACACCAGGAGCCATAGACTTAAACTGCATTTTACGAGATGAGAGCCTTGATGAAAATCTTCTTTGTCCAAGACAAGAGAGCATCCATTTGAGGATATCTTGATCTCACTTCCTCCATCACTCTGCAATACATGTGCTAGGCAAGTAACATGCACCAATTTTGTATACGAAGGTTGGATAAAAAGTAGTGGCAACACCTCTATAGTTCTGAAATGACTTTATTACCTGAGGTAAACACACTTACATTCCTTCAATATAATCACCCCCCATGTGTACCACCTGCTGCCAAATTTGTGGAAGGCATCGTACACTATCAGTGTGTCCACTTCTGTTGATGTCCAGCAGTGACCGCCCTACAGCACGAATAATCTCTCTTGTGTTGTAACGTGTCCCTCGCAGTGGTTCTTTCATTTTGGCAAAGAGGTCATAATCACACAGACTCATACCGGGTGAGTATGGCGGATGTTGCAGTATCTTCCATCGCCAGCAGCGAAGGAGATCCTAGGCATCAGCAGTATGAGCCCTTGCACTGTCATGAAGGATGATGGGGTTCATTGCCAACAAGTGTCGCTTTCTTCTGAGTGCTGGACGAAGATGATTACGCACAAAATTGCAGTAGTAGGCAGCGTTAACTGTCTGTCGTTGAGGTACAGCGTGGTGCAGTATCACTCCATCAATGTCATATGCCACAATGAACATCACCTTCACATTACTGTGTAGGGTTCACTTTCTTTGGACAAGGAGAGCCAGGATGCTTCCATTCATTTGATTGTCGCTTCAAGTGTGGTTCGTATGAGCGAGCCCAAGTTTCGTCCAGAGTGACAATCCTTCTAAGGAAGTCGTCACCTTCCCTCTGGTACCAGTCCAACAAGTCCTGTGAAATTGCATAACGTTGCCATTGTTGCACCTCGGACATTGCATGGGGTACCCAATGCGCTGGAATTTTGCGGTATCCAAGAATATCATGCAGAATGTGGAGCACAGTTTTGTGACATAGGCCTACCTCAGCAGCTAACTCCCACGCAGCCCATTGATGATCAACATCCAGCAAAGAAGCAAGAAGCTGAATTGTGTGGTTGTCAACATGGGGTCGTCCTGATCGACGGCTGTCCTGAATGGCATCCCTCCCTTTACAGAACAATTTCACCCATTTTGCCACTGTGCGATATGACAAAGCAGCATCATCACAAGCTTCTTGCAGTCCCTGATAACAGTTTTGTGCACTACAACCTCGAGCAACTTCAATTTTTATCCAGGAGCGTTATTCTTGTTTCGTAAACATGTTGTTAGGGTGCTTGAACTGGGCTCCTGCACTTCAAGATGATGCACAAGGCAACACAATGAAACACAACCAGAGCCACTCACTGTACTACTTCAAGTGAACTTCTGCTATCAGCTACAGACAGCGCTAGTGCCACCTGATGCACATCTTTCATGTTACAGCAATGTTGCCACTACTTTTTATCCAACCCTTGTAAAACAAATTTATTGTTTTTGCCTGCTTTTAAAATATATGGTGACTCTGTCACAAAAAGCAAGACAATGTGTCATATACCCTCTGGCCCCAGTAGAAATATCAACCTGTCAAAGAGTTTACAAATTGTGGAATGATTAACGGATTCTAGCACCTCACTCGTAAGCAGAAACGCTTCACCGGTCCAGCAATTTCCAAGGTTCCAATGATGACGTTTGCCATGCAGCGAGCCTCCATATTGCGAGTCTCATCAATTGAGATTAAAATCTTCTTCCCATGCACTTCATTCCTAATCAATTCCAGGATACTGTTGTAGCGCTTGGAAAGGTAGATTTTCCTGAGGGTGGATTCATCCAGGATAGAATTACCACAATTCACTTCCAGAAAATTTTTCAGTTTTTCATTTTTCAGAGCCAAAAACAGAATATTTGAGGACACCAGAGCATCACACAGATCTGTGAAAAAATCCAATGGCTTATGTCCGCCTTCAGATGAACACTTGCAGTAAGGTTTGCACAAATTTATTTTCATTCGAAATTGGCACTGCTCATATATGCTTGTTGCGGCCGATATGTTGTTGTACCGTGAAACATTTTTCTGCCGCTAATTTTGTGTCACACATCTTACAGTACAAAATGTTACCGTCAGTCGAAAATATATAATTTCCAAATTCAGCTACAATCTGCTTTAAATGACACAGTTTAGATGGCTTTGCTTTAGGCATCTTGATAGAATGAATCACTCTAGTGCAACACAGAACTGAACTTTTCTAAATGAGAACCTTACATCAACTGTATCTTTGTCTGTACAGTCAAAGACAAGAAACTGAAGACAGATGGAGTTTTACTGAGCAACAATAGGTCATAAAAAGCAAGGGATTCTGGCTAGAAATATTTGTAACTAAGCAAATTCCTTTGCACAGAACTTGGAAAGGGCTGCAGCGTGAGTGACCGCTGTCGTACCTTGCTGCCAGCTGAAAATGTTTTATGATATGTAATGTCAGCACTTTCCGCAACACAAACGGAAAGAACGGGACATTATTACAACTTATTATTCCACAGTGTGGTAGCAGGTATTTGGGGTGCAGCTGCAGGCTGCCTTTGTAAAGGAAAGAGAAAGAGAAAAAACACTTTACTTATATATTACTCACATTTCTGAAAACATATGAAGAAAAATTCCATAAAATGGCTAAAATGACAAAAAAATACCCTTAAAATTAAAAAAAAATACCCCAAAGCCAAAAAAAAAACCTAAAAACTTAATAATTATGAAAAATGACAAAAAATACCTATAAAGTTTTTTTTAATTTGCTTAGTGTGGGTGGAGTCCAACTGGGTCCACTCGGCACGGCGGCCACTGATTGGCTTATTCTAACCTGCTCCAGGTGATTATGATGATGGAGAATGTGGTGGAATGAAGACTGACAGGGGAAACCGAATTACTTGGAGAAAACCCGCCCCAACGCCACTATGTCCACCACAAATCCCACTTGACCAGACCCAGGATCAAACCCGGGCCACCATGGTGGGAAACCAGTGACTAACCACTTGAGCTATGGCATGGCCTACCTATAAAAGTTACATTTCTGTAACCAGCAGCTCATCTCTGAGATTTATATATTTACTGGCATCGAATAGGATACAAGGAAAAAAAGATGGCACGTCATCAAAATCTGGGGCCTGGTGATCACCAACATGTTCAAGGAATCTAGTGCCTCTGTCTTAAAGACAGAAATCCTATGAAACGGAGGTAGCAAATTCCTCTGAAATGCTGGCAACCCCCTACAAATTTACACTGTATCATAACTCAAAAGTTGAGTCTTAATTGTTAACGCAGTAAAATTCTCAATTCACAAATGAGCACAAAAATTACTGTCTCCAGGCATAAATGTCCATGCTGTCCTTGATAAGGGAAAAGCTTGGCCATAATACAAATTGTACCCAATGTAAGTTGAACTCATACAAGCTACACCATCTCTGAACCTCATTCCGCTTAGCATAACAGTAACTCAGAAAGTGTATTTTGTCTCTCCCACAAGCATACCAAAGAATGACCATTACAGCACAGTGACCACTGTTTTCTTAAATGAAACATTTAACAGAAGTGCACCCAGACTAAATTATTCGATTTTCCTGTGCCCATTTGTCTTCACTTCATAAAGACCAAATTTTATTAAAGATTAAGACGAATTTCACAGCAAGAGGATGAAATATGGATAACAAAGGAAACCTAAATCACTTACAAAAACTGATCAATATTTTGGCGCAAGTTGACACACATATTGGAACACACATTGAACAGGCATCATGCTTCAGGCTTTCAATGACCACACTAAACCCTACAGTTAAAAACCATGAAGAAAATATAACAAGTTCTGTCCAGCGTGGACCTTTCTCCAACCAGCAGAAGTCACTGAAATGTTCATCACTGGAGGAACTAGAATCTGTACTTGCTGCATAGTTCCAGCAAGCATATGATAATAATGCTTCCACAGATGGTACCTACTCCAAAGAGAGATGCTTATAAATCTCTACTTGTCTGGAAATAAATTTTTCTGCTTCCAATGGTTGGATCAGCAGTCAGCAGTAGTGTGAAAGACTCCCAAACCCATCAGAATGTAAAATAAGGTCATGAGTACCATGGGACTTGGAACTAGAATCACTGTGCTGGCAAGGGCCAGCAGCAATTTAGCAGTTATTGCTGAAACTACGGTGGCAACAAATGTAGCGCCTACACAGAAAGACCGAACCCTCCCCTCAACAAAGAGGAGGCCACACTTCTAAACATGTACATGTTTTGGACGGAACAATTCTTAGTTATGGACCTCGATGAGACCTGAAGCCAACAATAACTGTGCTGGCGAGACCAGCAGCAATTTAATCTACCGACCACATACAGAAATCTATCAGGTGTGTGTTGCTTCAGAAGTTGAAGATGACTGGAAAAATTACTGACTACTGCAAGAAATTGAAGGTGATATAACTAATGCTAATGAGACAGATCGACTTTTCAATCTACAACCTAGCAAAACCCTCACATTTTGAGAGCACTCCTGACATGGTGGTACAAAAATCTGAACAATAGGTTACTGTGCCCCTCACATTCAATGAGGATGGCAGTGATAAACTACCACTCTAGTAATTAGAAAATATAAACTGCATTTTGCTTCAAGAATGTCATGAAATTACCTATGAAATATGATGCTAATACCAATTCTTGGATGACCACCAAAATATGTGAATATTACCTCACACAACTGGCTAGAAAACTGGGTGCTAAAAATAGCAAAATGTCGCATTTATCAGCATACAACTCATCCAGAGAACACTACAATTTTCAGCACCATCGAAGTTCTATTTCTCCCACCTACAGTCTTTCAATTTTGGAATCATCCACACATTCAATTGTCATTACAGAAATCAGCTAATTTAGAAGACTGTAGCCACGACATATGGGGGGCTGTTCCAAGATGCAGCACAGATGAAGTCTAATGTGATATCTGCAATGCACTTAACAGGAGAACCCTGAAGATCGATTACACCTACTACAATTAAGAATTGCTTCAGGAAGTGTGGTTTCTTGATTAACCATGTCAGCAGCAATGATAACAGTACAGTGAAACTCACTGAAGACAAACAGGATGGCTGGTACAGTTTACACTCTCTTGGGGTGCAGTCTGAGACTACCCACACATATAACAAGTGGTCTTGAGGTCTGTGGAGTCTAGTATGTCAACCATATGTTACATCAATATTCGACTAGGCCACAAGAAAGAGCAGAAGAGGAACGAAAATTGCACAACATAAAGCAACATTCTTGCATATAATGAAAGAACTGGAAGCAGCCAGAAAGCACATATGTCAATCTGATACTGAGAACCATATTCAGTATTCAGTTATTCAGTATTAGAGGGGGTGGTTTTCCCCATGCACCGCGACTAGTAGTCTACTGTATGTCCCCTTTTAATTTCTACTGTCGCCATACCCTACAGGTACTGGTGCTCGCTATGATCCCCTTTCTGCCAGCGAGGTCGGCCCTCTTCTGGCAGTGGTACCCTTATAACTTCCCCATCTACCGGAGGCACTGGAAACTACTTGGGCGGGAAACTTTTTGCCTAATTTTGCTCAGAGGTCTCCTAGAGACATGAGAGAACCATATTACTGTGATGTGTAACAAAGTTGAAATTGAATTATGCTGACTGAGAGCTCAAAGAGAGGAAAAACAAAAGACTGACTGGTTAAAGAAATAGTGTAACTCAGTATGTATCATATTTGCCAGTTATTCAAGGCAAATGCTGGAATAGTGCCTTGAAATATGCCATGACCACTTCCCTCCATACCCTTTCCATTCACTACTTATAATCACCATCCCTTCTTACTGACGTTATATGAACACAGCAACTTTCAAAGCATTGTAAAACAAAACAAGAACCATATTTATAATCACCATCGCATCTTACTGATGTTATATGAACACAGCAACTTTTAAAGCATTGTAAAACAAAACAAGAACCATATTTTCATTTACACTGTTAGTGGCCAAATACGTACTGTCAGGTGTATGTACGACTATGGATGGGTTTTGATCGGTGAATGGATTTATTTATCACTTATACACTCATGACTTGGAAGTACAAGCAATTACAGCAACACTGCTAATCTCCATAACTGATCTCACCACAGCACCCACTAAGCCTTTTCCAGCCTGCTGTGTCTTCACCAGCTGTTTCCTAGCAACAGCTTCTAACTGGAGATTCAACAGCTTCAAGCACTCAGGTTCTGTCTTCACAGCCTCCCATGCAGAACTCAAATGACAACTGAACTCACTGCTTCAACTGTCCTAGTTACAACTTCTCGGCAGAGACCATATCGAAAACACTTTTCTGCTAATGTAACATTCATGTTTGTTGCCTCTGTATATGTTTATAGAGCTGTTGCCTCCCAAAAATTTATTAAGAATCTGCTGGCCTAGCAATGGGCACTGTTTTGCGACCATTACCCAGTAATGGGTCTACACACTACAGTATATTCTTAATTATTTTCCAAAGTTATGGTATAAAGAAGACCACAGTTTTTTATGCTGTAACATTCGTATTTCCTTGAGTTTACACTTTCCTTGATTTTACATTTGTTTTAGGCGGTCCCTCAAAATGTGTAAAATCGAGGTTTCACTGTATGATGGCAGTGAGAGAGTTAGTGGGGTTATATCTCGCACAGTTAATAAAATGTTCTTAATGATGATCTACAATATATATAAAATTGCATGCAATAAATAAACTTCTGATTCAACCATCTACACACAAGCCAATAATGCTAACCATAAGCTAAAGTGCATTTTATTCATACTATTTAACTTACTTTACCTAAATATAACATTAATGACAAAATATTTTGAAGACTGGAAGTTCATGCAACAGGAAGTAGCCTTTACAAGGTCTGTCCAGGACTCCTTTAATGAATTTATTCTTTTAGTGCTATAATTCCTATTATGAGGTAATTCATAGAACTATTGATCACTGATCCTAGCATGTCACAATGTTGCATGTTCAATAACATATAACTGCAGATGTAGCACTGTCAGCCTTCAATACATTACACATTGCAATTTCATGTAACAAGTGGGTTACCTTCTACGTTCTAAAGGAACTCGATCAGCTTCAAGGCTCTCCCACTGTTGGGCAAGATGGCTGACACACCGGGAACATGCTAAAATACGCCCATGAGAATCCACACAAGCGTTTTCTGAGGTACAGGCAATGTTGCGCAAGCATGGAAAGTGCATGGCATGGGAGTTCATTCCTTCTGGACTTGTTGATAACCACTTCATATGGGATCTTGGGAAGAGACCTGGAAAGAAACCATACAGTCATTCTCTTTCATAGTAGAAAACATTTTCATTTTACTCTTTCAAATTCTCTTATCCATTTTTTTAAAGCAAGCCAATGTTAGTAACAGAGTTTCAATTAACCTCTACTGGCAATGCGGTTCGCTACTATAACAGCACATGCCCACAGTACAGGTGGCCAAGTGCTAAATATTCTTAAAACTAACACCATTACCTCAGAGTTAAAATTCAACCACCACCATTGCAGAACTGGGTGATTTAAAACCTCCCAGTTCCAGATGCTACAGAATCATACTGCCAAAAAAATTCAAGCTATAAATCCCAGAGGTGTAATTCAAAACATCATATTTATTCATGCAACAGTAAAATTTTGTACAGTGATTTTTTACAGATAGGAATCACTATTTATGGGAAATATTTGTCATGTTAAAGCAGTTCACAACTGAGTCAAGAAATTCTCTCAAGAATGTGTGAAAGTTGCCTCACCCTGTTGAGATTGCGACAGAAGCAACTGTGCAGTGAGCTGAATAGTTGATTCAAAGCCGACAGGAGGATATGAAAGAATGAATAAATGTACAAGGGGTGGGCCCTCTTGGCCCTGGCACTGTGACCACAGTGATCTAGGGGTGGGCCCTCTTGGCCCTTGCACTGTGACCACAGTGATCTATTGTGCTTATGTAAAAATTGTTACATTGATTCCAAAAACAAATTTTTCCCCAATTTCGAGCGTCTGTCCACAAATATGCATACAGTTTCTGCATAAAACGTTTCTGCAGTATAAATGCATGCTGCTGACATCCTGTCTTACTATGTCTTATCTGGCAAAAGAGAAGGAAGTTTATGTTTGTATTGCACATTCTCCAGTCACGTCAGAACCTTTCTGTATGCATGAGTGTGGTCGAAGTCTTATCATACTTTGTCCTTCAGAAACTCTTGACTGTGTATATCTCGGACTAGCCACACAGAGGTACTGTTTTCGGAATATCCCCGCATTGCTTGCCTGACGATTTTCAACGAAGACAATTTCGACTGAAGAAAGGTGACATTCGTGTTAGAATGAGATGGAACTTGACAGCACTAGTTTGGAAGGATAAATGTGATGTTTACATACTGACAAACATGCACTGTCCTCCAGCAGAAGGCAGTTTCCAGTTTCTGTGATGAGCATTGAAATGCCATCAAGCCAGCAATTGTTGTTGACTACAAAACGCACATGGGTTATGTCAACAAAGCAGACAGAATGACAAACAGTTACAGCATCAGTCATTGGATCTGGAAATGGACAAATAAACTATTTTTCCATCTCCTGGATCTGACGATTCTGAACAGTTTCATCCTGTTGTCATCCTGTGGCACAAAATTGTCACACAGAGAATTTTGTCTCGCCCTTGGGCGCAACATGCTGGAACATGATGCAACGGGTCCGCCTCGCCCTCAATGGTTCATGGGTCAACCTCCGCTGTGTCATCGGTGATATCTCGATTAGAGGAGGCCACTCAACATCACTGGCCGACTTCCTCTAATATGAGACTGAGGTGTCGTATGTACTCTTCGCGTGGGAAACGGAGTTACATCCAGACAAAGTGCATGACTTGTGACATCCGACTCTGCATTTCCAGATGTTTCCAACAGTACCACACGAAGGCAACATTCAGTTAGATGACAGAGGAGGGAAAACTGTCTACTTATAAAGCTGGTGCCCAAAAATAATGTAAGTAGAAAAGAATTTCTATCTTAAAGCTAGATTTTAAAACACTGTGTGCACTCGTGGACTGCACATACCCATACGGTGTCGCATGGCCACTCGGCTACAATTTAAAGGTCTCCATACGGTGTCGCTAGGCTCTTAAAGGTTAAATCACATTTAATTCACTAAAATGTTCATTAAATGTTTAAAACTTCATTAAAATGCATGTACATTCCGTGTTTATGCTTCATGTTTCAGCTGCACATGGCGACCTTCAGGCAACACATTCTTCAAGGCATCTGCTGTACTGTGCACCTGGTTAAATAGTACTCTTAAGACATGTCATTATTGTTATCATTAATTTTGATGACACAGGATGTTTTCTTCCTATCTTCTGTATTGCAGCCATTTCTGCAATGTACAATACATGTTTATTAATATGATTCTGTTCTTAATGCTACCTTTGTGTACAGAGATGTTGTATTGTTTTGTACTTACATGTTCCATTGGGTGAGCCAAGCTCTTGGGTGAGCATCTAGTGTTGCTCTGTGTTCCTTGTACCGATTTTGGTGTAGATGTTCTCGCCTACATATCTTTCTAGGTAGTGTGTGTACTGCTACCTATCATAAACTTCATGTACTGTTTGGAGTAAAGGATCGTGTGCTTTGATGTGTGTACTGTTCATGTGTTTTTGTAAATGTGATATTTTTCTAAGGTGTCCACAGTATCTGTTACTGTGCCATATGTATGTCCCATGTTTAATATACAATTTGAATATCTGGAATTACTACTATTATTCCTGACAGCATGAATACGTTCATTATATCTCACACTGAATGTTCTTCCAGTTTGACCAATCCAGGCATTTCATCTGACATATGCCACTATTGTTATATTTATCTGCCTGTGTGTGATGTTTCAATATATTATTGAACGTGTTTTGGACACAAAAAGCTACTCTAAGTTGTGTCTTTTTAAAAAGCTTGGTTACTTGTCTTACTTCTTTCCCGCAATATGTAAATGTGGCCCATTTTGTTTTGTATAGTGGGGGGTGGAGTCCAATTGGGTCCACTCAGCACGGCAGCCACTGATTGGCCTATTGTACCTGCCCTGGGTGATTATGATGATGGAGAATTTGGTGGCATGAAGATTGGCAGGGGAAACCGAAGTACTCAGAGAAACCTTACCCCAACGCCACTTTGTCCACAACAAATCCCACTTGACTAAACCCGGGCCGCCGTGGTGGGAAGCCAGTGACTAACCAGTTGAGCTATGGCGCGGCCTACCTATTTTGTTTTGTGGTGTTTTGGATCTTCGTGTTTGTTTTGTTTTCGTGGTTGTGTTGGTGGTTTCTCATGTAGATTGAAAATTCTAATTTTTTGTCCTTGAGGTGTATTGTAATGTCTCAAAATTAATGATAACAGAAACTATGTGCCTTAAGAGTGCTATTTGACCAATTGCACAGTGAAGTAGACTCCTTAAAAAATGCATTTCCTGAAGATGGCCCCATATGGCTGAAACACGTAGCACAAACACTGAATGTACATATACTTTAATGATATTTTAAACATTTAATGAACATTTTAGTGAATTAAATGTGATTTAGTGTCGTTTAAGATTTAAATTGTTGCATTATAGATGGAAAACAAGACTACAAATGATACCTCAATGCAACAGGATGCTGAAATATAATATTACTGTTTCTCAGTTTTATCTAGCAGCACTTTAGATACAAGTAATTACAATGCCTTAAATTTTATGACACAGGAGATACTGCACAGTGCAGTCCCTTTATAGGAAAACTTGACATGCATATCTAGTAATAAGAAATAATGTTTATGACGTACCCATACCTGCACAGATATAGCAGCGGTAATTCTGCAGGTTGCTGTTACTTGAATTGGTTGTTGCCATGGTTTGCTGCCCACTACCATTCTGTTCAGGCATTACAGGTCCAGGAGATGCAGAAGTTACATTTCCAGCACTACTGCTACGCACCGATGCTGCATCTCCTGGACCTCCAGTGGATATTTTTCGCTTTGCTGTTGAGAGGGGAACTACAGCAGCACCTGGATTTTTACTGCTGGCACCCAATTCATATGGCTTGAATCGTATATCACTTCCACTTGCACTAGCTGGTGATTTAACAGCTGCAGGGCGAGGGGAGAGACCCTGCTTCCGACCTACTTCACTGTCTTCTACTGGATTATTATAGGTCCCACCTCCACTAAACACTTGATGTTTCTGAGGTATTGTTTTGAAGCAAATAGAACAAACCTAAAAACAAGAAAAATCGATTTAATATACTGCACAAAAATAAAGACTTTTAACAAATAATTTTATAAACTTGCCTACAACACTTCTAGCTTCAACAAATAAATTACATAAACCATTTACATATCACAATTTCAAATAAACTTGTATATATTTAGGCATTTCCACACACACACTGTGCTTGTAACATTAACACTTCGTGGACCGGATGCCTAGGCCTAGGCGTTTGGGTTTTAAACGTGGCAGACCGGTCGCCTAGATTTAGGCTTTTAGGACACGTTATGTTGCAACATACTATTCCTCGCTTTGGTGGCCACGTGTCTGTAAAAGTACTGCATAGCTGACCTTCGGAATGTTTGTTTTCCGAGTCAGCAATGTGACCACTGTCTATTCCCCTCTCACTCTAAAGAAAAGTCCCTTTGTTCAAGTCGAAGCTTCTATGTGTGAGGCAAGATATTCTCCGTGTCAACATGGCTCAGAGACGAAAGCAGTTGAAGGCCACGCGAGCTCTCGGAGAAGAAGAAATCTGTGATTTGATCTCCGATGAGTTATCTGACTTGCCAACTGCTTCGCCTTCTGATAGCAAGGGTAGTGTCAGTGGCAGTGACAGGGGCCCCCAAAATATTGTGACCAGAAGAGAAAGTGAAAGTGACAGTGAGAGCTCCAATGAAAGTGCGAGTGCTAGCATTGCGGGGACAGCCAGGTGGGGTAAAGTGGACAAAACACCCACTTTGGCAAAGTTTACTGGTGATCCAGGGGTGAGACAAATGCCATCGGACCCTAC